TATTTTCAAATATAGCTGAGCAACTCCTGGGAGATGACCAATTCAGCAAAGGCCACAAAAGTATAGAACACATAACAGAACTGAAGCAGCCTGACAAGTTTGAGTCAAATACCTTATGCGCAAGGCCACTGTGGAACAGCTTCCCTGTTGCCTTGAGATGCCATGGAATCATTCCACCGGTGCCAATGCACGGCTGCTTATCAGCTGTATCTATCCAAAACCTTCACAGCACAAACAACAGCCAATTAAAAGCAACACATAATCCCCACAAACAACACATTAGGTTTTTAAGGCGCAATGCTTACAGGGGTCCTGTCTTGAGCTTGTCAAGCAATCCATCCTTCACGAGGCCATCAACACCAATGCCAGTGACAGATGAGTTCTCCTCATTGGCAATAAACACAGCGATGACAGAATGCTTCAAGGGTGGCTTGACCTCACCAAGCCGCCGCATTAGCTGAGCCACCAGTGCAACATGTCCAAGACAGTCAGTTGTCCCACGTCCGCGAAGCTTGTCCTTATCCTCGCTATCAAAGGTTAGTGAGAAAGGATCAAAGTCCTGCAGAAACGTGGATAAGCAAAGAACACTGATTAGAATATCAACTATGAAGGGGCTTGAGTGGTTATAAAATCAAGTACGAAGTACATCATTGGTGAAAAAACATGACTACGAAAATAACAAAGACTAAAACGACGAAGATTTTTACAGGAAACATATATGAATCAGAAAACAAAACAAATTTAACACTCTACAAAAAGTTACAACCAAAAAAAAAATCCACGCCCTTGAAAAACTGAAAACGTAAAGATTTTTACACCAACAGAGCCAATCAAATCTACCAATATATGCAAAATTCAGTACCAGCCAGGGTGCAACTGATTAGTTACAACCTACCACTGTACTGAAACACTTTGACTCATTCTACGGAAACAAAACGATGAAGCAAAGCATGCCAGTGTGAAGAAACTCCATAAATAAAAACTTTTACAATAACTCCCATTATTACCGAAACACTCCACTAATGATTACAACGCTGGAAAATTGTGCAAAATTTTTTTTAGAGTTTAAGGGCATACGCCCCGGCCTTTCAATTAAAATCAAAAGACCACGAGTCATTACAATTGTGCAAATTTTACATCAGTAGATCCAATCACATTCAACAATATGCTGAAATTTAGCACCCGGACACGAGTGATGAACTGATGATAAGCGAAATCCCCAAAGATCACAAAATCGATAAAGGTGGATATAGGACGGCGATAGCCAAACAAAATTTAGCCGCGATTAGCAGAAAATTCAGGCGGACCTACCCAGTCGCTGGCGTTGGCAGGGACGACGTCCATGTGCATGCCGACGAAGGAGACAACGCGGCCGGGGACGGTGCCGGGGTACTCGACGATCACGTTGCTCCTGCCCTCGGCGTAGCTCATCTTCCGCACGAGGAGCGGGCCGCCGCCGGTGTCCGCGGACACCGGGCGGAGCACGTCGACGACGTGCTGCGCCACGCGCTCCTCCTGAGGCCTGTGGGTCGGCGGGTCGTTCTGCAGGTGCGCGGTCTCGCCGATGAGCTTGGAGAGGAGGCCGACGAAGCCATCGCGGTCGAGGCTGCCCACGGCGTCCTTAAGCGACGCCAGTGCCGGGGATGCCATCTCAGACGGGGAAAGGATCGGACGGCGGCGGCAACGGAGTGGCGAAGTGAATCTGCTCGAGTTGGGACTTGGTTACTTGGAAGCAAGATATAGTACTTCCAACGAGTACACTCACACTTCACGCGCGTATATGCGTGTGCGTCTATACACAGTACATTGGGAGGCACGTCGTCTTCCGTACATGGAAAACGTGCACTGTCATCAAACGCGCGCGCGTATATATATCCTAAAATTTCTGAAAAAAATCTAGAAAAAAGTGCTTTTAGTTTCGCGGAGTGTGTGCCGTGTGCGTGGCGTGACTGCGTTCAACGACGGTATGGTAGGCACGGGGATGCGTGCTACGTTCTTTTCCGCCTAAGCTAAATATTTCTATGTTTATTAACCATTAATTTTAAAAATTTTATATAAATTATTAACATATAAGATTTATATTTTAAATTCATTATAAGAAATATTTTCGTAATATGTAATTCACATGTTGTGAAATTACATAGATATTTTGAAATTGATGATCAAACATAAAAAATATTTGACTTCGGACAAACCTAATACTATATATATAAAAAGTTGGAGGACTATTCCAGTGTGCTTCAGTGTTGATCTTTACGTCGACGTCCAAATCGAATGCCTAAAATCACTTAAAGCAACTCTAACAGAACCGCAAAACAAGTCCCTAAACTAAAATTTGAGGGCACAGCCAAAAAAAACATAGGTCCTTTATTCAAATCCTCAAATTAGGGAGGCCCTAAAATCTACCTTTCAGCCCTCGCTTCGTGTGCGTTAACCATGGCTCCCTATCAGGTGATTGGCTGTTTTTCTCGCTCCTGCAGATGCCTTCCCTTCTCTTCCCACTCCGTCACGGTACCCCTAGCCCTCCGACCACGCCCTTGAGCTCCGGGCTCCTTCCCGTCGTGCCCCGAACTCAGCCGCAACATCCAACGCCTAGCCTTCCCCCGACGCGGTAACTCACGACCCACTCCAGTGTGAATAAGCTTCATCCACATGAAACTCACTTTACTCGTATGAAACTTTAATCCTCTCTCTTCATCGATACTCTCTCTAGTCCAAATTGTAAGTTGTTCTTATCTTTCTAGATGCATAACTTTTACTTTGTATCTAGACATAATTGATATCTAGGTACATGATAAAAAACTAAGTATCTAGAAAATCTAGAAATAACTTACATTTTAGAACAAATGAAGTATTATACAATGTTAGCGTATTTGTTTAGTTAATAGCTTATTTAGTGCTTATGAAACTTAGTAACTTACTTTTTTTTATGCTTATGAAACTCGGACACCCCAACGAAACTGACTTAGGTAGGTAAATAAATACTTTTGACAAAGGCTCTATGGTAAATACTTTTTACGAGTATATCTAAAAAATCATTACAAAACAGACAAATGTGATTTGATCCCGAGGGAGTGCGTCGCGTGCATGTCCTGGGTAGGTCTGCGGAACTGCAGAAAACGGTGGAAGGATGAGGCGAATGGAATACCCATCCGACCCCGCCGGCTGCTTTTCATTAGACGGCCAGAGTCCTCTGTGGCTCTCTTTCCGCTCAGCCAGGCAAAATATTTGCAGTCCAACTGAAATTCACATTAACATCTTGCCGAGGTAGTGCTCAACTCATAAGCGCCAAAGCCGGTAATCATCACGATCACATAAACTTTCTATACAGCAATATTTAAGGGCACAATGTACCTTCACATCAGACACTACAATTGTCAAACACTACAATGTACCAGATCTTTGGCAGCGAATGTTTGTACACTGTTATGCAAGTGAATCCATTGATCCATTTGAAGGAGAAAACAATACAAACCGAACGGGTGTATTGATCAACAAACAAGGAAAGCTACAGCCCAATATACAGGCAACAAAATACTCCCTACTACAAACAGGGCATGGAGGGAAGAACAGAGATCCCAGACTACAATGGAAATAAGAAACACAAAGAAAATTGTCTGGTCTGCCCTGCCCCACCCTCTGTTGAAGTACAAAGTTTCTGATATTTGTGTCACAATATACTCGCTTTATGATCATGCATGATGCCACAAAGGGTGATCTCTGTGGATAGCTGCTCAAAGGAGACCGACGAATATCGGTTGTCACTAATACCTTAATCTTGTATGAATTTGTTGCTAACACCTTATCTCATATGAACCAGCTCTCGTGATGTAGCGAACCCACTCAACAGTGTTGTAACCACTCTTCTCCCAGACCTGGAAAATGTATCACACTATGAGATTTTCCATCTCAGATGCTAAAAGGTTTCAAACCAACACTTGGTGCACATACCTTAAGGAACCGAACACGTAAACCAGAAGCAGTGAACATTGGAACCTACAGGATCAAGAAACACATCACTACATCAGATAGAGCACGGAGGATAATACTCAGAGAACAGTAAAACAAAGCATAACAGCATTTCAATATTCTATCACAACGACAAAGCATGAGCAGATATTATACTTGACAATATAAGGCAATGCCTCGAAACAATATTCCGATGACAAAAACTACAAAACTCAATTTCTTGTAGGACCAAGCACAGTTCATAAACAAAGAATGTATATTCAAGCTCTCTGCTACTATCCATATCCAGTTCCAAATTGCAATAGACAAAATGAAGCACAAAGAAAACAAGCATGTTTCCCCTTCCATTGGGGTTAAGAGTATTACCTGGAATTCCATCTGGATAGGTGGTCTGTTCCATGACTTCTTTTCACCCATGGTAGAGATCAACTCCACCTCTGCGCTCATAGTTGCCTCAGTCTGTCCAGGGAATTTCCTGATCCTGTAGTTTAAGTGTGTATCAGCTAAAGTAGCTTTACTACTTGCAATGTGTGAGTGGAAAAACCGAAAAAGTTCTTAAAAGGGTAAAAGTAACTCCCAATGTACAATAGACAATGGTAACACATACTTCCACACCAGTGAATCAATCGAAGCATTGTATTTTGCTTTGCCTGACGTTGTTTGGAAACTAGTCTTAGCTGTCTGCTTTGGAACTGGGATTTTAACAACGACACCAAGTGCAAACATATTAGCACCGAAAACACTCTTGACCTATGTTAAAAAAACGAGGTTCATGTTAGCAAAATTCGATTGTGACCCCAGGTACCCACTCATGTACATATGCTTACTTTCACATTGATCTCCATGCGTGTTCGGCCCAATTCCTTGATTGTCTGTAGAACACGGAATGGGAGGTTTACACCCTCTGTGATTCGATACCTGCAACAAATTTATCTATCAAAATTGAAAAGCCAGCAATAGTGAAATTAATAATGAGTAAGTCATTAGTGGGGACAAAATTACAAACATAAAAGAGGAATCAGAAGGTTTACTTCATCGATTCAAATTCACCATCTGGTGGCACGAAACTGACTGTCTTTTCTGAGTTAAATCTTGTTAAGTTGACACACTGGTGGAATGTTACATCATCAAGTTCTATGGTCTTCCCACTGTAGAGCAAGAGAAGACAAACAATCAGTAACAAATTTAGCAGAATGACAAAGAAAAGTGCCAAAAATCTTGTATTAATGAGCAAAACAACCATGATGCGCACAGATTTCCTTTTGAGATTTTTATATGGCAAATTTTGCCACGGGACATCAAACATATGCCGTATTGGCCATTTAACACCGCAAGCGCTGAAATATGCTAGGTACTATTATGGCATTATGAAAGTGTGGATCTTTGCTGAAGCACACTGCAATGATTATAATAATCATTTATGTGATTCTAGGAAACAGGAGTGTTAATTGACTTTTTGCCCTTGCCTTCATCTTCCTCCGGTGGCGTGGACACATCCATCTCTCTCGTCCACCCAAACCTCTACGTTCTTGCCACCAAGCAAGAGAACAAGGAACAGGGTCAGCTCAATGTCGTAGGTCGGGAGGTTGAGTGGCCCAGTGCTGCCACGGGCTGTCAGGACAGCAGCTTGATACCGCCCATGTAAATCACAGGGAACAGGATGAACGAGCCGGCGAAGTAGCAGTCCACACGACAACCTTGCCCAGTGGTGAGGTTGTGCTAGTGGACTTAGAGGCCGGGCGGGTTGGAATACCAGAACACATCATTTGAGTACAGGAACACAAAGACTTCCAGGACTACCTGATAGGTCTTTGGCAGAATGCTTGCAAGCTTGGACCACGAATCCAATGAATTCTGGATGCGGAACCAGAAGCCGCTGCTATTGCTCATGCCCTCTGAGATTGTACCATGCCGGCGGTTTTGGTGTTGCCTGATCAGGGTCCATGGAACCGGTAGTGGAAAAGGATCATATGTCGCCAAGGTAAGCAGGGGGCCACGGAACTCGAGGGACACGTTGACGTGGTGAATAGGGTCATGGACGAGGTTCTTGAGCATGACAGGAAGCACGCTGCCGGGCAGGGACCAAAGCATGGAATAGCATGTGACCCCCTTGAGGACAGTCCAGCGGATGCTGTGGGGGGTGGAGTCGGCGACGACGGTGGCCATGGCACTGGTGCGGAGGAGCTCGGCGCTGTCGAGCTCGAGCCAGACGACCGCGATGCAATCATACTGATCACGGTGATGGCGGTGAAGGAGAGCACGATGAGGACAAGGGCACAGGGAACCTGGCGAGCGGCATGTACGCAGCCTTGGCAGTGGGGTACTGTAGGTGTTGACGAAGGGAGTCTGAGAGCAATGGCATGACTTACAGGGTCTTGTGCTACTGCGACGAGACAAGATGCGTCCGTGCTTTGGAGAGACAAGAGGATTGAGAGAGGGATGCGCCCACGACTCCACGTCACCGGGAGGATGAAGATGAAGGCAAGGGCAAAAAAGTCATCACACCCCTTGTCGGGTTCATAAACCCGGGGTCCCCAATGGACCCGCTTCCCTGCAATACTTGGCCCAGTAGGCGGCGCAGCGACAGCGCGCGTCTGGGCCGACCCAAATACACAATGACAGGCCGAGACCACGATTCGGTTCCCAACCAGCACCTCCGGCCAGGAGACCTGGTCGGAGCCCCGACTGGATGGCCTGGCCGTGGTGGGACCGCAGTCCGACTCCGACCGCGTTCCTCCGACCGAGGATATGCCAGACCTTTGCTCGCCTCTCTTTCCCGACCGACACAGTCGGGGCCGACTGGGAACAATCGACCAGGACGCCTGCTCGGTGTGGGCCCGGGGAGCAGGCGGAGCAGATAAGGTAAGGTGCTCAAGTCAACCGCAATATCGAGGAAAGTACCCTGCCATGCCCTACACACCTGCAGGACGGTGCCGTCGGGCCATGTCAGACGGACACTATACAGCCTACCAGACGCGTCAGAGCACACAGTATTGTGGGCGCCGTCGTTTGCCGTCCCAGGCGAACACTGTCCTGCCTGCCAGGTACAGCAGGTCATGAACAGTAAGGTGGGCGATGGCGGCGTAAACAGTATGGCGGGCGATGGCATGCCGCACCCGACAGCGTGGGCGACAAGACTAGGTAGCACCCGTGCACACTCTCTCCCTTTCCGTCTTTGACTTGTAAGGCCATCCCCTTAATCTATAAAAGGGGATGCGATCTCCTAAAAGGACACAGTCTACACGCTCTCAACAACGGATAAGCTTGGACACACAGAGCATACGCTCCAATACTTAGCGCACGTTTGAGCATCCGTCACTCTCTTCCACTTGGATCAGAGTCCGACCGGGCATGTAACACCCCCCTTCTCATTCCTTACTCGTTTGTAACCCCACAACAAACTTCGAGCACCTGGGCTTAGGAATAAAGTCACCGACCGACTAAAACTGGATGTAGGGCACGTTGCCTGAACCAGTATAAATCCTGTGTCATCGCGTGCTAGGTCACATACGATCACAGCGCACGGCAAAACTACAAATATTTACTTGTCGGCCACATTTCGCACCGACACCCCTTCTCTCTAATAAAATTGCATAAATGAATATTATTATGGTTGCCGTGTGCTGCAAAGGTCCACACTTTCATAATGGTACCTGGCATAATTTCAGAGCTTGCGTGTCAAATGGGCAATACCATGAATGTTTGATGTCATATAGCAAAATTTGCCTTTTTTTATAATAATCAAGAGAGGGTTTACCTCTTTGCTGGTCTGGACTTTAGTTGGGCCTCTTTTTCAAGTCCAATCTTGTCATTTAATCCCAGCTTCAGGTCAGGCATTCCAGAAAGGAAGCATTTCATAAGAATCTTTCCCGTCACATCACATCTTAGAACACTCCCTACAGGAATGACACATTTATGTACACAAGGAACATCAATTAATACAATAGGGAAAGACAACTGTGCAGTCCAAAATTAGGTTCGTCCATAGAGTACCTTTCGAAGACATAAGAAGGTTTACACTCTCAACTATGTCCAAGAAAACCTGAAAAAAGAGAAGATTACTCCCCTTGTGCAACTAGTAGATGAACAAAAGTGCAAAGAATGGGATCAAATAAGACGAGAAGTTCACATATATAGTTTAAGCACCTCATTCTTCTTGTACACAAGTCCCTCTCTTCTCCAACCAACAGCACCAGTGACTTGAAGAGTCGCATTTGGAACAGGCTTGTCCGAGGGCTATAAGTGCGTAAATGACAGGATATTCAGATGGTATCAAAGAAAAACAAAACTATCATCATACAATTCAACGTAAATTTTTAGCACATCCTATCAAAATTCAGGTTCAATTTTTCTAACCTTTGAGGAAAATGGTGACCGAACACCTTCTTGAGTTATATACAACTTCAAGATTTCAGGTGACAGATTTTGAGGATAACCGAAATCCATGATCTCTGTACAATTATCGACAGCTGGATGAATGAACAGAAACATCCATGTTGCAGTAGGCAAGTAAAGAATAGGATGCTTAATTACCATCAAGAAGTTCATATATCAAAACAAAGTTATTCCTGATAGCGTCTTCATCAAAAGCTCCACCGAAGTAGGACTTGAAGAGAGCCACTGCCTGATGGTTTCAAATAATATTAAGTACTTAAGTCAAAATGATAATGAATGAGATAGAATACTGTGAGTTATTTAGAAAACTACAGGGCATTTTTCAAGTACTTTGCACTGAACTAATAGCTAAAATTTTGTGTCTAAATCATACGCTTGTTCAGATGAGAAGGGTTGGGGTTTCATTCAAAGTTCTAAACAGGCCATAGGATTTTTTGAGCAGACTACATCGCAGTAGTCCTATCAGAATATGTTTACAATATTAACAATAATGAAGTGTATCAGTACAAGAAACCATAGGGTTTTTTGTGTTCCAAGATTACTAACATATCATGAATACCCACCATTAGCAAAAAAGTTCTATTTGCAAAGTAAAGCCAACCTAGATGGCATAATAATCTAAGATTTTTTTTGAACGGAAAATACAGCAGGGGGTCCCCATTGTAAGCTTTTATTAACAGAAATGACACAAACAACACTGTACAAAAAGGAGGCACAAAAGGAAGCATGCCCGAGGTGGGCAGCAGAGCTAATCTAAGCTCATGGATCCTTTTTTTAACTCTTGAAATATCACAGAACAATGTTTAGCAGGCAACTCATAAAATTTGAAATTTGTATAGCTCATTAAGTGACAAATCGGTTCAAATTCCAATTACTCATCTACCCTATATTTTCTCTACTCATATCTGCCACATTCTATGTACGGACTTGGTTATGATTATGAAAGTAATGGAAATGGAATGCAATAGCGAAAAAAAATAAGTGGCTAATTCCTCCTTTTCATTCTGGACAAATAACATGCAAAACAGGTAGAAGGCTGATCATTTGCCCCAAAGAATTCATCAAACTACCATTTCAAAATTTGTATTTCAAACTCCTAAACCAACTAGACTGTAATATGATTCATGGGCTATGCAAATTCCGTTTCAAATGTATGCATAGCACAGAAAGAGTAGCATACCTCGACAACAAATTTGAAAGCACAAGCAACATTAGCATTGCTGCTAACTACGATCACAATGTAAACATTACTGATCCTCATATAAAGGAAGGAGCAGCCTCCTATTTGGCGAACAGGACACGTGCCAAGTTCTTTTGTTTGCATGATATGCATTCTGAATGCATCAACCATATTTCCCCTGAATGAACATACATGAAAACAGTAGTCACTAAATTTATGTTCATCAAGTAAGCAAAATATGGGAATAAAGGAACCAAAATGAACCCACAGAGTGATTATTGTTGAATAAATGTAAAAATGGTAGAAACAACAAGGGAATAGACGGTGGTAGTAAATTAGTATCACCAAGAAAACTGAAAAAGTAGCCATTTTTAAAAAGGAAATAAAATGTCTCTGTTACTGAAGATATGCCTTGTAATGTAAATGAAACCATATTGCTTGGTATGAACGAATTCGAGCTGTTTGGTTGTATCTGTGGTAACGCAAACGCAAATGAAACAAAGCTACGGACGTTACCGGTGGGGGATAGATTTGAACTGATTCCATTTACATTTGCGTTACCATGGAAGGAACCAAACAGCACGTACGAGCATAGACCGTTTCAGGTTCATGCTGTCAAAATGGGGTCCAGTTCATAAATTTTCTCTGCAAACATACCTAATGTCAAAACCCACTATGAATGATAAGTCAACTATGCAGCAATCGACTTAGTGAGCACTCGCTAGTTCACTACAACAAAGCTTAGTCCCTAAGCAAGTTGTGGATAGTCTGAAATGACAAAAAACAGTAGCCTCGTACACAGCCCTAGGTGAAGCACTCTAGGTAAATCTAACGAATTCTCCGATTAAGTGATTAATAATCTCTTTTCTCCATTCCACAAAGCAAGTAGCTCCACAATCGCTACCGAGAGCATCCTTTCCAAAATGTAACTCTCAGCGTAACCATGGCACGACCAGATTTTAGCAGCTGACGAGTCAGATCACCTAGGCCTGCTTCCCAGTGCCGAGCGGAATTTTCAAGAAGAAAAATAAAATGGACGAAACTCTATAATCGCGATCTACGCAGACGCGAGCTAGAAGCGAACTAATCGGTCCCTCCCAGGGCCCCTAGATCTAACGCTCCAAGCCCACCACAGCACGACGTACCCGACATCGTCACGGTAGAGGCGGTTGATGAGGACGTCGCCGCGGAGGTTGAGGAAGTAGATGGCCGACGCTGCCACCGGCATCGTCGCCCGCCTTCCCGCCGCCCGAGCGTCCGGCCGCCGCCCTTATCTCGTGGCCGGTTCCACGGCGCGCCTTCAGGTACCACTCGAGCGCCGGTGGTCTGCTGAGTCCGTAGCTCGCCGGACGGTGAGGAGGGCGCGGGGTTTGGTTAGATCTCGCGGCAGCACGAGCACCAAAGTCGTCTTCCCGTCCGGGATGGGAGCTTTCGGTGTGTTCTTTTTTGCAGAATAGACCTTTCTGGATGGCGTATTTGCTTGGTCGTTTTTGGAACTTCGGTAGGTGACCTGGAATTGGACCCACTGAGCATCAAACTTTCAATTTCAGCTGGTGCTGAATTCAGCACTAGATTTTTTTTTTCCCAAAATGGGTTTTAAGTAGAAATCATTTGAATTGCTTAATAAATCAAGAGGTAGAAGAATCAAAGTAGGCAACAAGTTTAGGTACTGCTTTGGCCTCGATAAACCTAACTCCTCTATAAAACATAAATAAATGTTTAACTAGAAGAGACATGTTGAGTCTCCACCTAAAGTTTGTTCTATCATGCTTATTGTTAGTTTCGACTTTAAAACTAGTAGCTTTTTGTTGAAAGGTAACATTAGGGCATTTTTTTAATTGTTTTTTGTTGAAAGGTAAAAAGCATGCATATTTGAAAGTACATTTAACTCTATATATTGTGGTCTTTGGTGAATTAATAACAATACATATAAAAGAGTTAATGAGATTTATTAGGCAGTTTAGTGTTTATCTATTATGAAAAGTGCAAATGAAGGATGGATACCCTCTAATTTTTAAGTGAGTAACCAAAATGGCGTTGAGAGATATATTTTGAAAATTAATCTTTGTATGCTTTGTTGTCATTCAATTTGAGTTTAGAAAATTACATACTATTAAGAGGATCGGAGTCAGGTATCTTGAAGATGTTCATGTGCTCAAAGTAGACAAACAAAACCTTATACGCCTTATAAAAAATCCCCGGATATACCTTTTGTGTGCTGAGTCCTTGTAGGGTCATTTTTTTATATTGTCAGAAAGCTCGAGATCTGTTCAGAAATTTCGATAACAGTTCTTGGGTAGAATTAATCTTCCTAGATCAGAATTTTCCGATTGTGGTCAATTTTTTAAGATTTATTACTTTTCACACATTTTTCCATGTTAGTTTTACAATAACTTTCCCAAATATCAAAATTTCTGATACTCGCCTGTCCAAACAGTAACGGCTAGTGGGAGAGTTGGGGGTTTTTATACCTCCCCTTCCTCTCTGTAACACCCTCGGTGTTACACCCTAAATTATTTACTAAAACATGTCATGAGCATTATGTTTATGTGTTACTACATGTGATAGAATATGTATATAAATTTATTGTAACTTAAAATGATCAATAAAAATGCTAAATGAAAGTTGATTCAATAGCTCATTTATATCAAGTAGGGTTAAAAACCAATTTTTATTAAACAAAAATACTATAGAACATATACGTGATACTTAAATAAAGTTTGAAGTACAAACTTTGTAGATGACAGTGAAATACTTGCTGTCGAAAAATGATATTATTAGCTAACATTTCTACTAGCCTAAAAAATATAAATTGAAATCAAACTCAGCTCAAAACATAAAAAAAATTCAAGTTTGTCAACGGCTAGACATTAATATGTTTAGAAAATTATTTTGAAAGATTGGGTTAAGGGGTGGTGTAGTGTTATAGCTCGATTTGGTAGTCTGATATGCCATCTTGACCATGGTGAAGATAGTTTAGGTCCAGAAGCAACCGTTTAGTTTTTATAGGCGCTTTAAAATTCGTGCATGATACGGTCTCGGGCTAGTTGGCCACGTGGGTGTGGTCACCACGCTCGGGCATTCGGCGTCGCTATGTTGGCTGTCCAGCGCGCACGCGCGCTGCAGTGCGTGGCTGGCCACGGCTGCTATAGCCTAGCTGTGGCCTGGCCGCTGCTGGCTCCTGGCGCGCGGAGTCGCTGTTGCTGCTTGCGCAGTCGGGCGGTGCTGCCGTCGGCCCCGCCGCGTTGTCGCACTACGACTCGACCTACGCCACGCCGCAGCCGCTACCGCTGCCGTCGCCTCGCCGTCATGACCATGCCTCACTCTGCATCTCTGCGCCGCTGCCGGCCCAATGCGATGCCGCCTCTGGCGCGCGCACGTGGTCGGGCTCGCCGTCGTCTTGTCATTAATGGCACTGCGGCGCGCGGGCCACGCCGGTCGTAAACGTGCACGCCTGTCTGCTAGCGCCTATGAGTGGGCCTCCACGATCATGTCGACCACACCCCCTCCAAGACGAGGACGAACCGAGCCCACCTGACGCGCCCCGTCTCTCTCTCTTTCTCTCTTTCGCAGGGAACGATCACCTCCATTCAAATCAGTGCATTCATGGTTTCAACATCACGTCCTCTCGCTGCCTGACCCTACCTAGTATTGAACCATCACGACCAAGCTCTAATTTGGAGTTTTGCTCGCCGCCATGCCGATAAGGCCGCGTCCGGCCATGGATGTGGGCAGCCCTCCTACCGTCCCTCTCGAACCAATTCACTTGCACCACTAGCTTTGCCTTGCCTCCCTCTCCACCTTGCGCATGTCAGACACGACCGTGCCGCCGCTACCACCTCCCCGTCGTCGCAGACACGACCGTGCCGCCGCGGTGCGCCGCGGCAGGCTCGACCGCACGTGGCCAGCCTTCCTCCGTCATCCTCCACCCCAACCGTCACCTCGGACTGGTTCATGGTAGCCTCTTGATGCTCACGCGCTAACCAATTAGGCATGTAGCTACCCCAGCCCACCGGAATAGTGGCGCCGCCGTCGTGGATGGCCGCGCGTCGTTGCAGCGTTCCCTAGCCAGTCATGTCACCCTGCACCGCCGCTTAGCGTAGCCGCTCGGGTCAGAGATGGTGATCGACCCGTTAGGTGGTCCCGCGTAGGTCCCAGGAGGCTGGCGTAGGCGCCTAGTGCTGCTGCTCGCAGCGCCGCCGTACACTGAGTTGCCGGGGGTGCGCGCGGGGGAATTTTTAGGAAAGCCAAGGGGTTAAATGAGAAGGTTTGAAAGAGGGGGGAAAATAATGTTAGTACTTAGTCATAATTCGGGAGAAGTTAGAGGTCTCTTTTGCAAAATCGCCGGCGCGCGCAAGATTCCCCGTCGGGGGCTGTCTCACGCTGTAGGGCGTCCTCGCGTGGCCGGGGGTGCCGCGTGAGAGAATTCGTTTTTCTTTTTCATAAGAAATTAGAAATAGTTTTTTAATTTAATTTTTGAGCTGATCTTTGGTAAATCATATAGGTGTCGAAAAAATTATGAAACAAATTTTGGTAGGTTCCTAAAATTATGCTCTATCTGTTAGTGTATTTAGTTCATATATGTACATGTTGATACCAGGAGCTATCAAATCATTTGAAAATGTTTAATATTGTTAGGAGAATTATTATAGGAATTTTTGTGGTAAATTGAAGATAGCTTTAGTTCTGAAATTTTTATAGTAACTTCATTGTATTATTATGTGCTCATTGTAATTTTTGTAGTTTTAGAATAGATTAAGCATTAGGGTAGTTAAATGCTCTTTGTTTCAATATACATTAAATCATTAGTAGGAATAAAGATATATCTTTCATTTGTAAAGTTAGGTGTTTGTTAGTTGAACCCAACACTTTGCTCGGTAAAGATGATAGTTACCTTAGTACCTTAGTCATTAGAGCTAGCTTAGTAGCATAGTATGCGTATTCTTAGTTTAGGAGTTGCTATTGCTTAAATGCTAAGTGTTGCATCATCATCGCATGCATGTAGAGAACGAGTTGGCGAAGATCGTGACCACCGGCGATCATGAGTTCGAGGAGATCGTCGAGGAGTACGAGGAGGAGATTCTCGTGTAGGAGAAGGTCCCGGAGCCGTCACTGACTGACTCAGCTGACACCACGCCTGCCTAAGGCAAACCCCGATGCATAATCCCTTGTTTTTTATAATCACTATTTATATATGTTATGTGCATTTACGTTACAAGAATTTTATGGAAACCACATGCATAAATATATCTGTCCTAGGAGTCTTACTAGTGCAGGTTCGAGTAGCTGCTATGCTTAGGTTTTCGGTAGCATGAGTAACCTGTCGTTACTCACAAAAGGTGATTATTATTACTCTCATAATAAAATGATGAAAGGAAAAATGGAGACAGGGCATGGATATGATATAGGTATTGATGGGTGTAACAGGTTGTGTTCCATGGCCAACGGGGCTTAACTTGGTTACACTATCGGGAACCTAGTACCAGGGTATCCAAAGAGGTAGAACTAATAACCATCGAACGTTAAACACTTCTGGACGGATAAAAGCACTACTACGCTTCTTACTCAAACGATGGGAGTTTGGTTCCGCCTCTCCCAACGCCCGTGGGCCAGCTCCGACTCACCCGATGGCTGAGGGCTGACTCCACCTCGCTAGAGGGCTGAGGGCTAGTCTCCGCCTCGCCCTAGGGCTGAGGGCAGGGACCACCTCGCCCGAGGGCTAAAGGCGGGACCCGCCTCACCCGACGTTCGGGGCCGGCTCCGCCTCGCCCGAGGGCTGAGGGCTGGTCTTCGCCTCGCCCAAGGACTAAGGGCTGGCCCCGCCTCACCCGACATCCGGGGCTAGCTTCGCCTCGCCCGATGGCTAAAAACAAGACTCCGCCTCGCCCGACCCCCGAGGGCGGGCTCCGCCTCGTCCGATGGATAAACGCTAGGCTTCGCCTCACCCGACGGCCAAGGACTGGGCACTGTCTCATCTGACAAAACTACACCTTGCTCCTTCATGATGACAGACACAGGGTAAGACAAGACGTTCGGGTCACCGCGGCATCGAGCACCATGCCCTGCGCCACTGCGGGAAAGTACTATCAGAGCACGATGGGACGGGGACTTTAGACCCTTCCAGGCATGGCAGGGGCTGAATAGTGTTGTGGGCGCGTGCCTTTCGCCCTACAGTGTTGTAGGCGCCGCCTTTAGCCCTCGGGTGAGGAACCAGACACCAACATATGA